GCATTTGTCCTTTACAGCTAATTTGCACATATTTAGTTATATAAGATTAGCAATATTGGAGTGTCCTTGAACATTATGTAGTTTCCCTGGCGACCATATTGCTAAGGGTATAATGGTGGAGTTTTATAAGGCGATGGATAAGTCGGTAGTACGACGCACTTTGAAACTAATACTGAGATGCCGTAGGTTCGTGATCTAGAAATGCCACTTAAAATTTATTTAACAGTCTTATTCTTATAATGTACGAACTCGTACCATCATTTAGTTTATACGATTTACACTCAAGCGATCAAGGTCAATCAATGTAAAAGGACAAATTCAGGGTAGACGACTTAACTTTGTATTTTTGTATATGACGAATAACGCCGTAACATTGTACATGCCTTATTAAATCATGCTGTATGAAAAAGGTGATTTAATCATATTTAATAATAGTGCGATGTGCCATGTCTCAATACAATATCTGCCTTCATGAATGTATTGATCATGAGTTATTAAAAAATGAATAACTCAAAGGGTTAATTCCGACAGGCGGATCAACTCCCAAAGCCTCTTAGTCTACCCTGAATTGATTAATATTCTATTCTAATAGCATATGGAAGATTCAAATCACTATAAGACTCAGGATTGGAAAGTGGGTTTTAGTTGTGTGAGTTTTTCAATTAAAGTGTTGATTTTGAATAACAAAGAAAACACTCAGTTTTTTTCTGGATGGAAAAAATGAACTTGCAGTTTAATGTGTGTCCTTGACCATAAATTTTAAAAACCAATATGATGGGTCCAACAAAAGTCGGTTACTTGTAAAAGGGTTCAGTTACTTAAGTTTCTTACTAACGAACCAGTAAATTGACATACAATTATAGAAATTCCTCAGACTTAAGTGCTAAGGGAGACATGTTAAATCCGTTACACAACCACAAATATTCAAGACATTTGGAATTATTTCGCTTATAAGTGATTTTAAATTTTTTTCTACGACTTTTAATTGGTACAACCCCTAAGAAAAGTCTCTGGGGTGTAATTATTTTAAATGATCATTTTGACAAGTTATTTTGATCCTACTAACACATATGTCGCTTCTTTGTTATATTGCTAACATTTCTAAGTACTGTTTAGAAATTATAATGCTATTTACCACCAAAGTAAAATTAAGTAGTTTTCTTAGTTATTTTATAATTTTCTAAATAGTACCATAAACAAAAAATCATTTTGTCTCTTGTAGTACTAAGCTTTAAAATTAACACATTACCATAGCCTCCTCTAAACAGGGCCATGGTGTTAGTGTGACAACGTCGCACCGGCCGGCCTATTGCCATGGTAATAACGAAGTTTTTGAGATAAACATTTCACTGGCGCTGATGTGGTATAATTACCTCGTCAAGTAATTCAATTTCTTTTATGTTAGGTTTAAAACCTAAATGTTTCACTGTTAGTAAAAAAAATAAAATGTGTTTATTAAGCGTTTCTCTGGTACACCAGCTTTTCAGAACAACTTTCGTCACTACGCTAAATATCTTACTACTACGCTAAATATGCAGAGCAAATTTGACAATTTTGTACATAACAATTCAACCTAACAATTTGGCCGTTATACGCCTAGACAATAATTAAAATTAAAAAAAATATATATCTTTAAGTTTTTCTTTAAATGTTTCGCTATACGCAACAACCTTAAGGCCGTCGGGTAGACCATTGTACAACGAGGGACTAAAATATGAGTACGGCATCGTCAGGGTAAAAAAACATAAACGACATTGCTGTCACACTCATACAATAAGTAAAAACGAACAAACAGGCCTGTCACTCGACGCGGACGGTCTCGGTGCAGGTAGTAGACGTTTCACAGGCGCTCCATTACAACAAGTGCAACAGCAGTTTCGGTAAGCCGGGGCTGCGGTGTTGCCACTTTTATCTCGCCGCGGCCTTGTACTAGAGGAGGCCGTGACATTACCCATGCAAGTGGTCATAGTTTGGCCAAAGTTTAATTGACTACATAAGGTCGAGAACAAGGGACCCTGTGACAAGCAGATGTAACGTGTTATCACTGACTGATAAAACCTGCATTGCCCGCATGTCAAACTAAACCGACTTAATACTACCATGACCTCCGTGGCACTCTAACGTCGATTTACATATTGTTAAATCCAAAACTGCTTTTTAAGTCTCGTTACTCTTAATTGCAATGACATTGACTAAATAGGATTTATTTTATATTATAGTTAAAGTTTTACAGTGTGAGCTTTTTGCTTCGACTGTAGAACAAACAGTTATTGCAACTATATTGTCCTAGTTGGTTTGGTTAAGTCTTTTAAAATGCCCTATCAATATATTCTAAGAACTGAAGCATGGCAGGAAACAAAAATACGTGGGCAAATTGAATCTGTAATGAAAAATAAATTATAGTAGTGTGCAATAAATTTGTTTTAGGAAACATCTGACATTTTACTGTAATAGTTTCAAAGTTGCTGAGAAAACGAAGTAATATGACTAGTTTTTTTCTCTAAATAACTCACAAGTAAACAATTACTGTTAAAAGCAGCCTTAAAAAACCATACTATCTAACTTGAGAAATTATGAAAATATTAAATTATTATTATAAACTATTCCGTATTTAATGATTGGACACTGTAACCCCTTCTACTAGTTCGTCTTCGCCGACATTAAATGACAGAGTAGGAAATGTCCAAGCCATTTGAAATTCCTTGGCGTTCTTCATTCCAGTAAATAGCCTCTAGGAAATGTTAATAAACCAAACCCTTCCATTGTTGTACAATTTTAAGAAGAAAATTTTCAAGATCTAAATACAAAACAATGAAACCCTTTAAAACTCGGTATTTATCAGGGATATTAAAAAAATACAGTTATTATACATGATAAGCTATATCAAATTCCGAGAGACAACAGCAAGGTATTCCGGGAGCTTTTTGATATTATTAAATCAGAAAATAAAATATACCTAAGTAAGTAAATATCAACTAAATATTGTAAATATTCATGTAACTTATAGCCCGGGTATAACTGTTTGTATCCGAAAGGCCACCAGTTCAGAGCTACATTCATCAATGCGTCAAATCGATGTCCAAAGCCTGTCACTGCACAATTGATATCATCTATTATTCCTTTAAAACCATGATTACTTCTCCATAGTTATCAAACCTTAGCACACGTATTTGACAAATATTGGTAGTTGCTAATTTATTAGCTGTAACATTTTGTGCTATATTGTTTTAGAAATTCAGTAAAAAAACTGGAGTAATAAATTTGTTTCTTACCTCTGAGTTTGCAAACAAGAAAATAATGCTAAATAGTTTCTTGTGGCATTCACAAATGTTTAAAAAGATTATTGCGGAAAAACTAAAGGTAACCACTTTATGTGAGAGGAAGAACCCAAGGGGGGACGCTATCATTCAGAACTGTTCTGTCTACAGAAAATAGCCTACAGACTTACAGACAGAGGTTAGTAAGTGAACTTGGTCACAAAATGACTCATTTTGTGACCAAGTTCACTTACTAACCTCTGTCTGTAAGTCTGTAGGCTATTTTCTGTAGACAGAACAGTTCTGAATGATAGCGTCCCCCCTTGGGTTCTTCCTCTCACATAAAGTGGTTACCTTTAGTTTTTCCGCAATAATCTTTTTAAACATTTGTGAATGCCACAAGAAACTATTTAGCATTATTTTCTTGTTTGCAAACTCAGAGGTAAGAAACAAATTTATTACTCCAGTTTTTTTACTGAATTTCTAAAACAATATAGCACAAAATGTTACAGCTAATAAATTAGCAACTACCAATATTTGTCAAATACGTGTGCTAAGGTTTGATAACTATGGAGAAGTAATCATGGTTTTAAAGGAATAATAGATGATATCAATTGTGCAGTGACAGGCTTTGGACATCGATTTGACGCATTGATGAATGTAGCTCTGAACTGGTGGCCTTTCGGATACAAACAGTTATACCCGGGCTATAAGTTACATGAATATTTACAATATTTAGTTGATATTTACTTACTTAGGTATATTTTATTTTCTGATTTAATAATATCAAAAAGCTCCCGGAATACCTTGCTGTTGTCTCTCGGAATTTGATATAGCTTATCATGTATAATAACTGTATTTTTTTAATATCCCTGATAAATACCGAGTTTTAAAGGGTTTCATTGTTTTGTATTTAGATCTTGAAAATTTTCTTCTTAAAATTGTACAACAATGGAAGGGTTTGGTTTATTAACATTTCCTAGAGGCTATTTACTGGAATGAAGAACGCCAAGGAATTTCAAATGGCTTGGACATTTCCTACTCTGTCATTTAATGTCGGCGAAGACGAACTAGTAGAAGGGGTTACAGTGTCCAATCATTAAATACGGAATAGTTTATAATAATAATTTAATATTTTCATAATTTCTCAAGTTAGATAGTATGGTTTTTTAAGGCTGCTTTTAACAGTAATTGTTTACTTGTGAGTTATTTAGAGAAAAAAACTAGTCATATTACTTCGTTTTCTCAGCAACTTTGAAACTATTACAGTAAAATGTCAGATGTTTCCTAAAACAAATTTATTGCACACTACTATAATTTATTTTTCATTACAGATTCAATTTGCCCACGTATTTTTGTTTCCTGCCATGCTTCAGTTCTTAGAATATATTGATAGGGCATTTTAAAAGACTTAACCAAACCAACTAGGACAATATACCCTAATAGCACAAAATATCCATCAAACATTCAAATATGGTTTAAAACATCCATCGATGTTTTTGGATATTATTAAACGTTTATTAAACATCCAAACCTTAAACCTAAATTAATATTTGAGTTAGATATTTGGCAAACGTTGAATAGAGGTTTAATTTTGTTTGTTAAAATATCTAATTCTTATTTTATCTTGGATGATCATTAAACGTTTGATAAATGTTTAACTAAATGACATTTGCAGAGGTTTCTGGGTAAATTTTATCCCGTGAGGAAGAGGACCTTGTGAGTGACCGGTACGGTGGCCGCCATTTGCAATCGACCTCACTGCTAGCTTGACTGATTCACTTCACTTTCTCTTTAAAAACGTTATTTCTTTTTACTTTAGTTCAGACTTTGTTTGTTGGTTTGTTCCATTCTAGTGCAGTATTCCACACACTTTATAAAGTTCAAGTTTAGTTTATTAGTTCAAATGTTCCAATCAATTCTGCTGCTAGACTGAGACTCGAGACTACTGTAACGTTGACTGTTACCTCACCTCACTGGTAAGAATTATTGACTTTAATTATTAAATTGGTAGCCTCTTTGGCCCTCGCCAAAATGCCGTGGGCGGTTGTTGAATTTTTGACTAGTGAAGAGGTGGAGGCAGTGCCTCGAAACTGGATAATTAAACATGAGGACAATCTCATGTGTTTGTGGCCACCTCCCAAAGTCCACAAGCTGACTGACCTAATTGCGAGGGAAGTGGACATTAGTGAACTTGATGGGACAACAAAATACAGCATTCGTATTCTTGGTGAAAACTATGGTGAGTTTTTAGGCTACTTAGGCTAAGTTAGTGTATTCCTTAGACTTGACTTAAAAAACAACCCTAGGCCGTCCTTTTACATAGGCCTAAGCCTAACTTAACCTTACTAACCTGCGAGTAGCCTACTATCAACTTTTTTAAGGGCCTAACCACAGAAAACGTACTACTATAACCCAGAATGCCAACCGCATGGTAAAAAGCATTAAGCGTTTTGAGAGAGCTTTGCCTGTCAATCCGTAGGCAGCGCCACCAGCGTTGCCATGCAATAGGATAGCAACGCTGGTGGCGCTGCCTACAGATTGACAGGCAAAGCTCTCTCAAAACACTTAATGCTTTTTACCATGCGGTTGGCATTCTGGGTTATAGTAGTACGTTTTCTGTGGCCTAACTTACTAGCCTATTTTTTATTTTATTAAGTTATGGCACCTAACTTAGAGCATTTGAAAGCTTAAGCTATTGCATGGGCTAGGCTAGCTTATCAAGTTTTGGCTACAGGCCTTTATTGATGTGAGTTTTTTTAGGTTCACTTAAAAAATCGGTTGTAAATCTCAGGGGCATATGTACTGTCCATTCTGGTTAAGGTAGACGTTTGTTTATGAGCTAAGTTAGCCTACGGTAGCCTTTTAAAGTTAACCACCTCAAGCTAGGCCCAAAGTGTTAAGAGATTTTTTTGGAAAACAAACCTTGCTACGGAGGCGTTTTTTAGATACCGGTAACTTAGATTACCGGTATTGTTATCTAGGCCTAGATAATTTAGATAGGTAGCGTTTTGGGAACCAACCACTGAGGTTATTTAACATGTTGATTGAGGTCTACGTTATTTAACAACTTTCTGCGAGACTGGCGTACTCATTGTCCTACGTTAAACTAGCCTACGTGGGTAGGCCTACAATTCCAAACTCGAAAGTATTTAACTTATGTTAAACCTATAGTGAGCAGTTTAAACATTGCTGTGAGATCTTGTTTTCTTTGGCGCTTATTGTACTACTTAGTTTTAGCAAATATTCATAGGGAATAAGCTATTACTTAGGCTACCTTAGGTCTCATGGTAAGGCCAAGACCCGGGACCGATTATCTTTTTTGTTTTGAGGTCCCCAGAGGCCAAAAATAGGCCTACCATCTGTTCAAATTCATTTAAGTTATATACCGTAGACATTATTATTTTCTTGCATGTTTTGGCTGCACTTTACTTTAGGTCCTACACTCATTCGAATGAAAAAATATTGATCGATATATTGATTAATCGATTGTTTCATTCGATACAAGTTATCGTTTGGTTAAGTTAGTTAGTTAAGGTTAACCTAACCTAACTAACCAAACGATATAACTTATCGAATGAAACAATCGAATAAACTTAGGCCTAATCGATATTTTCATTCGAATGAGTGTAGGACCTAAAGTAAAGTGCAGCTCATGTTTTTATATAGGCTATATACATATGTATATATATATATATATATCGGTTAGCAGCACAATAAGTTAACTCGAGCAAAAATAATCCGTTCTTGATGAAATTTGGTACAAATGTGTAAACTTACGTTTATTCCTACGAGTTCCCAAACCAGCATGATGGGACCAAGGGAACAGGGGTTTTATGGGTTAAAAATAGTTTTTTCCCATTTTTGACACTTAAAACAAAAGATTTTGCAATTTATTTCTAACTTAAACCATTTTGTAGAGCTTATAAAAAGAAATAATTTAGTACGGTAGGCCTAAAAAAGTTATTGAAGTGCTGTTGTATGCCTAACGGCCATGTAGAAAATGAAAAAAAGTGTAGGCCTACGGTAATTTAAAAATTCCCATGTTATTCGTACCTATGGATAAATTGAAAACGTTTGTAGGCCTAGTTTAGGCCAACTTTTTAATGGATAGGCCTATGTTGATAAAATTTGGCAAATTTATTTATTTCATCCTAGGCCTGCCTATAGGCTACTACTGTATTGTCGTATGGTCAAAAAAAGTTTTACCTTCACCCCGTAGCAGCAAACCTAAGAACTCGTTAAGTTAAATCTAATGAAATTTAAATTGGGAATAAATATAGGCTATGTCTTATTTATGGAAATATTTGAGTAAAAATGTACAATCAGACAAGTTAAAATTCGCTTAGTCTGCAGGTTTTTGCGGAGGGGGTATTATACTCCTAACTTATCCGGTATAATTCTTTTAACTTAGATCCGACAATTTTATCGGTACCGGTAGCAGGGACTATTCTAAATTTTGTGAAGGTAAGTTAGGTCTTTGTCTTAACTTAGATGTAGTAAAATGGAACAAAAGAACAATAATTACTGTAACTTAGTATTTTATAGCATTGTTAAGGAACCTAACCTTGAAATTATGTTTGTATCTTTTTGCTGTATTTTTTTAACCGTACAGTACAGGGTTTTTGCTCCAAGTTTTTCCCTCCATTTTGGCAATTGAGAGCCTGCTAGCAGTTTGGTTTTTAGTGCTCCTGTCTGTCGGGTTAAAATATTAACTATGTTCTCAACGACTGGAACACAGTAGGCTTACAGTATGCTATCTTACACGTCTCTCTACAAAATGCCATATGAAACAAAATTTTAGCCTAATGTTTTTGCAGACTCAACAACAAAGCGCATTAGTTGTCCTTGCAACCGTCAGCGGCCGACCATTGCGCAACCACACTGAACGTGTTAAAATAAGTTTGTTACCTTGACTTTTTATCTAGTAAGCTTAAATCTAGCTTAAACCGTTGTCTGCGGCTGACACAGTGCTGACCATATACTGTTTAGTGTACAATGAGAAATTAAAACCAAGGATCCTTTAACCATTTTAAGCTAACTGCATGAACAAATATTGCAAATTAGTCACGCACAAAATAAATTCGTACAGTAAAACGATGATGCCTCTTGAAAATCTTTCATTTTTGTTATTTCTGTAGTGAATGGTTTAAAAAAAACTCCAGAAAGTTTGGAAATACAGGGATGTTAGGTCGTGGAATCAGAATCATTTATTGACTTCCAACTGCAACTGTAATTTTTATCATGTATTGGTAATTGTAGCCTACCAACATATTTTGAATAACTTAGCAGTTAGTAAAGCGTAACATAGTCCCCCGTTCAGGAAATATAGGTTGCTTGGATCTTAATAAAAGATTAATTAAGTGATATAAAACTATAAACTTTAATATACGTCTACCGATAATAAATTAGCCGTTGTATATGTTTCAGAAACCTTTGCTCAGGCAAGACAAAAGTGCATCAAAGCACAAAAAGAATCCGAACTTGATAGTTGCGGAGAAAGTGAAGCAGAAAGAGCTACAAGGAAACGGTTTGCAAAAACCTTGTTTTCTCCATCAAATTCACCAAAAAAAAGAAAGATTTCAGACTTCTCAAAATTAGATTCGCCGAACGGTCCTCTACTTCCACCTCCCACATTTGTTCCCAACAGAAATAATTCTGAAATCCACCATAATGGTTGTTCAAGTAGTCCTAAGCCTACAACACATAAAGAAGAAACAAGTCAAGTGAAACGTACACACAAGTTGTCTAGTTTGGATGAAGGTAAATTTTGCTTAACATTTTCATTGATGAATTTAACTTAATATGATTTCATTTTACCTTATCATCATGTATTGAGGTTTTATCCTTGTTTCATACACACCTAATCTGTTGTTGGCTTTGCAAATTCTTCATTTAAATAGGACAAATTTACATTTTATCAATGTAATTTTCCAACACAATTATTGACCAACAATTTATTAGTGTGTCATCAAATAGCAAAATTGGTGTACCCAAACTCCAATTAACTTCTTACCTTACCTAATTAATAATATCCCTTCCCTCTTTGAGGCTTTCATTTCTTTTAACCTAAGTTAGGTATTGGGTGGAATTTTAAGTGTAAGCTTTAATCTTTTGCATAAAATTCAACATTTTTTGTTGTGCTTTAATTTTTTATTTTAGGTTTTAAATTTTGACATTATTATGATTGTAGTATTGATTACTTGGTTCCAAGGTTTAATATATATCTACATAACTTATGTAGTGTTTTGTACAAAAGGCATTTTATTATATATATTATTATAATTTATAATAAATGTCCATGCAGGTTTATAGTGTATGTTAAAAAAATTTGGTTTAGGTAAGTAGTGATTTTGCAGCAACCAACTTGTTTCATAGAATGCTGCAACTGTCTTGCTATTGTAGGCTCTTAGTGTGCCCTGGATGCTGGTTTCCACACTTGTAGGCTATATCTAGGCCTATGAAAAATACAATTTTTCAATTTGAATCTTTCAATTTGAAACTGTGATTTATCTGAAGTAAACTTTAGGTAGGTACCGGTACTGCCAAAGACAGGTTTTGTTTTGACCTTTGTGGTGAGTTATAAAATTGTGAAGATTAGAGCGTTGACTTTGGTATCCAAAGAAAACCAATTTGATGGGGTTGATCGTATTGATTGTAGCTAATTGTCCTGAATTGCACTATAAATCTCATCAAAAATGTAACTACCCTATATATCTGTTCTGGATTTAGAGTGGAAGAGGAAGATTTCCAATGAGTTGGCATACCTCAAACTTAAATTAGACGCCATATATGAAGTGGTGGTGACGCTCCAAGCATCGCAATCAAAGACCTCTGATGACATCTTCGAAGAAAGCGAAGCCGCCTCACAGAATATAGATATAATATGCAACCCAATCGAAAATGAGTCACATTTGGAGAATTTCGAAAAAAAGCTGCAGGAAAAAAAAACCTACGACTTTGTGGTTAGTATGGTTTTTTTATGATTTTGTCGTAGGTTAACTACATCTTAACACATTGATTGCGGGCTACATCAATTGATGTAGTGCGTCACAAGCGCTCCCATCGGACTACATCTATTGATGTAGTTGCGCCATTCTCACAACTATAATGCTAGTGTCTATGTATTTTAACATTAATTGCCATAACTAAAGAACCACTTGAGAACTTCAAATTTTATACGTGTGTGATGATCGAGTAATGTGACCTATCTTACAGTGTAGGCCTATGGTAGTATCACATTTGAACTTTATACCTTTACAAATTGGCGACAATTTTTTTTTTCAGTGTTTTACAAGATAATTTTTAACATTCAATTTTTGTTTGTGTTTTAGGTCAAAGATTTAAGTCGACTTGGTGGAACCACCACCAAAGAAGTAACAAAAAGAATACTGCGGAAGCTTTTATCAGACAAACTGGCCCAGCATTACAGTTTCCACGGGTTTAAAAAAAAAAAAGTTTTTGGGACCCTGAAAATGAAAAATGTGATTTTTGGTGAGTTTTTATTTTGTTTAGACTGGAAGTTATCAGAAAAACAAGGAGCTTTTTTAAAAACTAGTAAATGCTTCCACCAACCCAAAATTTTCTTTTTTATGCAATTTTCTCAGTAATATATATTATTCTAGGAAAGGGCGTAAAACAAAGTAACTGTATATCCTGTTCCTAGAGGGCCTGTGCTCAAACATCTCATAATTATCTTATTTTTTTTAAGTGTTTTCTTTTCTTGTAAAAGAAGTTACAGACTGTCTAGTTTATTTACAATTTAACTTACAATATAGCATTAAACCAGCTGTTCAAATAAAAGTGACAGTAACTTAAACATTTTAAAAATGGAAGTTTGTTTACATTTTAAAGTGCTCCCTAGAAAAAAAGTTTAGGGTATGAAGTCTTAAACAAAATGTCCTTTTTTAATAACCTGCATGGGTTCAAGCTATTTATAGTGATCCTGGGTATATTGTATCTGAAATTATCCTTTTAGCGAATTTCCCATGTAGGCTATTATCGTATTACTCATGGTAAAACCTGAACCGGGGACCGATTTACTTAAAAAAAATAAATAATAATTTAGCATGTTGAAGCGTTATCATGTGCCTAATGGTTGCAGAGAAAATACGAAAAATTAACAGTTTGATCAAATTTTAAAAATGCTTTTATTTTATACTAGACTATCAACATTTAAAACATTTAAAAAACACTATCCCTGTTGCAGCAAACCTAAGTGCTAATTAAACTAAAGCTATATAGATAGGGAGTAAGTGTGATATTTTTACGGAGATATTTTATTGTAAATCCAATTAGGCGAATGGAAATTCGCTTAGTATGCAGGTTTGCTGCGGTGGAGTTTTGGAGGATTCATTCAACCATGGAATATTACCTCGATGGTTCGGAAAATTCCCTTAAGGGATACCCTCTGTCTACAAGTACAGCAAAGCCAATCCCGGTAACTAATATTGAAGTATTTGTGGTATTGATGGTCTTCCTATTTCGATCCAAGGATTTATCTGCTTGCTGAGTTTATTAGGCTAACTATTTTAAATAAGATTTTTGACGTCAGGTTTCTGATTTTTAGATGCTGTCAGAAAAACTCCATCTACTACTCAAAGTTCGGATGCAGAGATCGAGGGTGTAGTTAAAGACTGGCTACGACAGGCCAAATTTCGATTGATAGCTAAAAACAAGTAAGTATTCCATATACCCTAAATAAATAAACTCGTCATTTCCAGTTTATATCATTTACAGTTGAACCTCTATAAGACAAATTTCAAGGGGTATGGGAAAAATTCGTACTATAGAGGTATTCTTAATAAAGAGGGCCGTTTTATCGAGGTTTAATGCTGCTGTTATTCCTCTTATAGAGGTTTCTCCTCGCTCCAAGGTTTCTCCAAACAATGAAAGGAGGAGGGATGGGTGGGGGTTTCATGTTGAGACAAGCTTCTGTTTGTTTTGAAAACTACGTACTATGGGGGTTAAGATTATGATAAATTCGTCTTATAGAGGTCACGTTCGTCTTGTAGAGGTTTTGTGCTAAGAATATTCGTTGTATAGAGGTTAATCAGTCCTAGCCCATGTCACAAACAAATTCGACTTATGGAGGTTTTTAACTTAATTACTACGTTGTATAGAGGTGTTTTTAGCATTGACCTATATGAAAGTGTCAAGGGGATAAAAAAAAATCATATCGAGGTTCGTACAAACGAGGTTCAACTGAACTAAGTAAACAGAGAAAGATAATATTGTAAATTGAAAGAATGAAGACACAGGTTTTTATAGATAGCTGGTTGTTTTCATGTGATGAATAATTATAATAATTATGTGGTTTTTACATCCCTCGTTAGTAACTTTGCCTGCTAGTCACTTTTTTAGTTATACGCACACCCCTACAAATAATGTTTTTTTTTAGTTTATTAGGATGTCAAACATTGAGGTTTTATAAAAACTAAAAATAATCAAATTTATTGTTTTAACTTAGTCCAACCCAATTCCTCTTAAGGTTAGTTTAACTAGGGGCTGCTTTCTGGGACACTACCATTAGGTGCTAAATAAAAATTATCCAATCGTATGTTTTATCAATGTTGTGATGGGTGGAATGGTTATATAATTATGTATTTTGTCTATTCAAAACTCATACATGCACAAAAAATAAAAATATAAAAAACAACTTGGTTTTCCCCAAATATTTCTGTAATCGTAATCTATTCTCATATTTCAGAACACAATACCCTGTGGTCCAAGGTGTAGATGAACAAGTCGAAGACCATCAGGGAGGCCCATCATCATGAACACAACTCAGAAAAGTTTACCGTCTAAATTAGGCTAATTATTTATTTATCTATGTTATACCTCAGAGTAATTATTTGAGGTTATACTTTTAGTTGGAGATGTATTTTGTATTTTTGTAAAGACTTGACTCTCAATATGCCTAAAGCGAAAACCAAGTATAAACATTTGAATGACATATCACGCCGTCACTTCAATCGTTTGGTGAAACAAGAAAGTACCAAAAATGGTGCCTCCACTTCCAAAGTAGGCCTAATTGAATGCAATGCAGATTCATTAACTAAATCAAAAACAACTATGTCCCCAAAATATGAGTGTGAAAGTGATGTGAGTAGTGAATGTGTTTTTCAAATGTTTAATGAAAATGTTGAGTGCAAAAGTGGTTTGAGTAGTGAGAACGGAAATATGAAAACATATATTAAATCTGATTCAAATAATACATCTACAGCTAGTGAAGTATATAGTTCTAGTGACAGTAACAGTGAGACTGGTAGTAATTCCAACTTCAATGATAGGTTTCCAACTGGTGAAATATATAGTTCTTTTGTTGAGAATGAATATGAGAGTGGTAATAATTCTGACTTCAATGATAGGTTTGCAGCTGGTGATGTATGCAGTTCTGGTGGGAATGGTAGTGAGAGGGGTAGTTTTTCAAACATTAGCTGTAATAATATCGATCATGACGACTCTCTAAATAGGCCTATTGATGATATAGATAGTAAATTAACTAATTGTAGCCCAGAATATATGTCCAAATTAGCAAACTGGGCAGTTACATTTCAAGTAAAAAACAATGCTCTCAATGCTCTTCTGCAAATCCAAAGAAGTGAACCAGGCTATGAACAACTTCCCAAAGATAGTCGTACACTATTGAGTACTCCTCGTTCAACTACAATTCGGAAAGTTAATCCCGGGGAATATTACCACTATGGGTTGGAAAATTGCCTAAATGAATACCTTATGTCTATAAAAACAGCAAAGCCGACTAATATTGAAGTATTTGTAGGTATTGACGGTCTTCCCATTTCTAACAGTGGAAGTAGTCAGGTTTGGCCCATTCTTTGTTATTTCAAAAACAATTTAAATACAGATAGATCCAAAGTGTTCACTATTGGAATTTACCATGGCTACGAAAAACCTTACTGTTCTAATGATTTTCTCAATGATTTCCAACATGAAATGATGCATTTAACATCTAATGGCCTAAAAGATAATGACTCTAATGTAATTTTTGTAAAGCTATCTGCAATAATATGCGATGCTCCTGCCAAGTCTTTTGTTTTAAAAACCAAAGGACACACTGGTTTTTATTCTTGTTCAAAATGTCTTCAAAAAGGTGTAACTGTAAGTAACCGAACTTGTTTCCCAGAGATAAACTGTGAACTAAGAACCCATGATAGTTTTGTGAACCAAGACCAAGTAGAATACCATTCAGGTACTTCAAACTTAGTGGGTATACCTAATTTTGATTTAATTAAGTGTGTTCCTCTCGATTACATGCACCTTATTTGTTTGGGAGTAGTAAAAAAACTTATGCATATGTGGCTTTTTAAGGTCAAAGGGTCTCATAGACTACCAAATCAAATTGTTCAATCAGCATCTGAAACATTGTGTACTATGACTGAATACATTCCTGTTGAATTTGCTAGAAAGCCGCGATCTCTTTTTGAATCCAACCGTTGGAAAGCTACGGAATTACGGCAATTCCTTCTTTACACTGGACCAATTGTTTTAAAATCCACACTTTCTAAAGACTTGTACTTACATTTTTTGGCCCTTAGTATTGCGGTATCAATAATGCTGAGTGAGAAATATCACTTAGAACTTTTAGACTATGCCGATTCACTTTTGAGGTGGTTTGTACAAAGTTTTTCCAATATTTATGGAAGACAGTACGTTTCCCATAATGTACATGCATTAATCCACTTAAAGGCTGATGTAATTCAATTTGGAACATTAAATGGATGTAGTGCTTTTCCATTTGAAAGCTTTATGTTTAGTTTGAAAAAGCTTTTAATACGTAAGCCTTATAAACCATTGCAACAATTTGCCCGTCGACAAGTAGAGTTGTGTAAAGCTAAACCAGATCTTGAAAAAGAACAGTGTTATCCAATTTTAAAAGGGTTGCATTTTGAAGGTCCTCTAGTTGAAAATATGTCTGGTTTTCAATACAAACAAGTTCATTTACAAGGTTATGTCCTGACAATTTTTACAGGAAATAATTGTTGCAAGTTTTCTGATGGAAGTATTGTCAAAATCGATAACATAGTTGAACGGGATGGTTCTATAATGATCCTAGGAAAAGCCTTTTCTAAAGTGAGTGAATTCTTCACTGAACCTTGCAATTCATCTTTGTTAGGAATCTTTAAGGTATCTGATTTAAGCAGTCTGAAATCTTGGAATTTGGCAGATGTAGTGCTCAAGTGTATACTTTTGCCCTATTCTGATGGATTTGTAGTGTACCCCCTTCTACACCAAATTGATTAAAACTTAACTTGTTTTATTTAGATGCATCTGCCAAATAAAGTGTGGGAGTATAAAAAGTGTGTTAAGCCCAGTGAATACCACATTGTGGGGCAAGTTTTTCCTGCGGGTAATTAGCTTTTGAAATTGTGTCGAATATAGCAGGGATCAGGTTAGGGTAGTTTTGCAGTAGGCCTAGTCTTAGTGTCTAGCAAAAATGCATTGAACTTTTAGTAGATTGACACTGCCGCAGTTGAGTCTTGGATATGATAAAATCCAATCTTTGTTTTTGTATCTTAACATTTACCACGTAGTCCTAGCCACAATCTTTGGATTGGGGAGTCATCAGATTTCTTCCCTTCTTGGAGGGGTCTCTAAGAAGTTGCTCATTTGAGGTGTTGTTATGTGTGCTGTTCTATGTAACCTGTGGTTTTGTAATATGGCCTGTTTATTAAGTATTCTTTGAGTTTTTTTGTGAAGCTGTTGATTGTGGTTGTTGATTTTATATGTTCTGGTAATAAATTATAATAATATGTACCTGAATTGATGGTTGCATTGCTGGTTTTTTGTAGTCGGTGTTGCTTTGTGTCAATGCAGTGTTTGTTTCGGGTGTTATAGGTGTGTATGTCTGAGCGTGGGGTGAGGGATGTTTTTTTTTTGGCTAGAAGTATTGTGTAAAATATATACTGGGAGATTATTGTTAGGATTTTGAGTTTTATGAAGAGGGGTTTGCAGTGTTCTACTAGGTAGGCCTAGTGGAGTCTCAGGATTGCCCGGATTGTACTTTTTTGTATGGTTAAGATCTTTTCGATATTGCTTGTGCTTGCTGATCCCCAGGCGGTGATACCATATTTTATGTGGGAATGAAAAAGCGAATGAATGGTAGGCCATTATAGCTACGTCCATTTGTGAGTGTGCGGATTCTTTTTATCACATAGGCCTACCTTGCAGTTGACAGTTTTTTGATAGGTATTTTATGTGATCTTCCCAGTTGAGGTGTTTTTCGACAACTATGCCAAGGAATTTTGTGGAGTTGGCCTTAGGAATGTCCAGTCCTCTTCTAGTCTGTTGTTGTTGTTGGGTGTGAATTTTATGTGGGTCGTCTTGTTTTTATTTATACTCAGGTTTATTGTGTTGCAGTATGCGGTGGCCTTATTAAGGGTTTCATTAATGATATCGGTGTTATCTGTTGTTCGGTCAGTGGGAAGTATGATTGTCGTGTCATCTGCGAAGAGTATGTATGTATCTGAGTTGTTGTCCAATTTCTTCCGGGAGGTTATTTATATATACTGTAAAAAATAGTGGGCCTAAAATTGATCCTTGAGGCACGCCTCTGGTGGTTGTTCTTAATGAAGATTTTGTGTTGATTAAGTTGTTATTAATCTGTTGTTCCAATTCTACATATTGTTGTCTATTGCTGAGATAACTTTTTATCAAATCAAGAGCTTTGTCATTGATATTGTATTGTTGAAGTTTTAGTAGCAGTGTATTCCAATTGATTGTGTCGAATGCTTTTTGTAAGTCTAAAAAGATGCCTGATGCACACTCTTTTCCCTCCCAGATGTTTGTTGGTTATATCCTCGCAGAGTTGTGAGATGTTCTTCACTTAGAACATCATCACATCCACTTAACCTGAATATATCTGTTGATAAAACTCAGCTAGTTGATCTTTTTTAGAAATATCCTGTGTTGTGACGACTGCTTAATTGAGAAAGCTTTGTTTACGTTTGTTATGATCTTGAAAATGGCTGAAGAGATGCACCAAATTATTGGGTTTTGAATATCATGGCTTAAATACCGTGTTTGGCCTTGAGACAAGTTAACAGCTTGATTCATTACAGGATCGTATTTTGAAAGAAACTTAACTATACAGGGACAAAAATTGCCATCATAATTTCCACCATGTTCCACTATGGCGAACTTCTGAATGCTAGTGAGTTTTTTACTGGGAACAGATTGTTTGTTTATACACTACTGTATATGTGACTAAACTTGCAATAGGCCTACAGTTGTCATTTTTAAATATGTGTGAGTGTTATATATTAATTTAATTTTAAAACCATTTGTGGAATACTTAAAAACTAATTCAAATGTGTTTTCAACTAGGTACAATGTTTTTATCATATAAATTTTGAAAAGGTTATTCAAGATCCATCTCCAACAATGTTATATTTTATTGTAAAAAAAGTTTTGTTGTACTTACCAATTTTTGTAATTAAAATGTTTTATCTCACCTTGTAATGGAGTTGTAAAATTAAAAATACAAATTATGATATGCAAGTATCATTTGTAGTAGCCTATTATTGTTAAACTTCTTAAACGTGTTTACTGAGATAAAGACTGTTTTTTATTCAAATTGTCTTGTCATATTATTTACCTCTAAAAATATTTTTTATTTTGTCAGTTTAGTTTGAAATCAGCTGTGTGAAATGTTTAAATATAAAGCATAAACTAGATGTTTTTGCCTAACTTTGATTTCTTGTTCTAAAAACCCTTCATCAAGTTTTTTGGTTTTATTTAAAACTATTTAATAGTATAATATTTTAATTGTGTGTCTGGACTCTTGTCACTTCAGATTTTGTGTACAGTTGGTCAAACCATTCATTATGTTAACAGTTCAATACAGTAACACCACTCAAAATAGTCTACACAATTATACACTGTCTGGGCATATATAGAGGTTTTAATTTAATGCTTTCAAACCTATTTTACATTTTTTTAACCATTAAAAAATGTTAATTAAATGTTATTAGATGTATATAGATATTTTCAAACGCAGCCTGACAAGTTTAAACTATTATCAAACAGCATACAAACATGAGTCAACCATCATCTATTTAAAAAATAAACCTTTATTTACATTATTAAACATTAAATAAACCTTTGTTTAACATTACTAAACGCTTAATAAACCTTTGTTTAACATTATTAAATGCTTAATAAACCTTTGTTTAACATTATTGTACAGCCTTCAAACATTTAATATATATTGTCTGGACATTTAGGTCTAGAGGTTTATTAAACCGCTATTAAACATTAATGAACCTGGCTAAACGTTTAACAAACGTTATCTGAACTATTTTCAACGATGTTTGGACTATTTCCAAACATTTACATTGAATATTCTAACCCTAAACGTTTGACTAACATTGTATAGACATTTGATCGAAATGTTTGTATTTGGTTAGAACCGGGACATTTGAATGTTTGCTAAACATTTTTTAGATGTCTAGGTTTAAAACCAAAATGTTTTATAAACATTGGACATAACCTAAGTAAATGTTTGTTTAACGTTAAATAATGGTTGTGTGCTATTAGGGTAGTTGCAATAACTGTTTGTTCTACAGTCGAAGCAAAAAGCTCACACTGTAAAACTTTAACTATAATATAAAATAAATCCTATTTAGTCAATGTCATTGCAATTAAGAGTAACGAGACTTAAAAAGCAGTTTTGGATTTAACAATATGTAAATCGACGTTAGAGTGCCACGGAGGTCATGGTAGTATTAAGTCGGTTTAGTTTGACATGCGGGCAATGCAGGTTTTATCAGTCAGTGATAACACGTTACATCTGCTTGTCACAGGGTCCCTTGTTCTCGACCTTATGTAGTCAATTAAACTTTGGCCAAACTATGACCACTTGCATGGGTAATGTCACGGCCTCCTCTAGTACAAGGCCGCGGCGAGATAAAAGTGGCAACACCGCAGCCCCGGCTTACCGAAACTGCTGTTGCACTTGTTGTAATGGAGCGCCTGTGAAACGTCTACTACCTGCACCGAGACCGTCCGCGTCGAGTGACAGGCCTATCAAAATGTTTGTTCGTTTTTACTTATTGTATGAGTGTGACAGCAATGTCGTTTATGTTTTTTTACCCTGACGATGCCGTACTCATATTTTAGTCCCTCGTTGTACAATGGTCTACCCGACGGCCTTAAGGTTGTTGCGTATAGCGAAACATTTAAAGAAAAACTTAAAGATATATATTTTTTTTAATTTTAATTATTGTCTAGGCGTATAACGGCCAAATTGTTAGGTTGAATTGTTATGTACAAAATTGTCAAATTTGCTCTGCATATTTAGCGTAGTAGTAAGATATTTAGCGTAGTGACGAAAGTTGTTCTGAAAAGCTGGTGTACCAGAGAAACGCTTAATAAACACATTTTATTTTTTTTACTAACAGTGAAACATTTAGGTTTTAAACCTAACATAAAAGAAATTGAATTACTTGACGAGGTAATTATACCACATCAGCGCCAGTGAAATGTTTATCTCAAAAACTTCGTTATTACCATGGCAATAGGCCGGCCGGTGCGACGTTGTCACACTAACACCATGGCCCTGTTTAGAGGAGGCTATGGTAATGTGTTAATTTTAAAGCTTAGTACTACAAGAGACAAAATGATTTTTTGTTTATGGTACTATTTAGAAAATTATAAAATAACTAAGAAAACTACTTAATTTTACTTTGGTGGTAAATAGCATTATAATTTCTAAACAGTACTTAGAAATGTTAGCAATATAACAAAGAAGCGACATATGTGTTAGTAGGATCAAAATAACTTGTCAAAATGATCATTTAAAATAATTACACCCCAGAGACTTTTCTTAGGGGTTGTACCAATTAAAAGTCGTAGAAAAAAATTTAAAATCACTTATAAGCGAAATAATTCCAAATGTCTTGAATATTTGTGGTTGTGTAACGGATTTAACATGTCTCCCTTAGCACTTAAGTCTGAGGAATTTCTATAATTGTATGTCAATTTACTGGTTCGTTAGTAAGAAACTTAAGTAACTGAACCCTTTTACAAGTAACCGACTTTTGTTGGACCCATCATATTGGTTTTTAAAATTTATGGTCAAGGACACACATTAAACTGCAAGTTCATTTTTTCCATCCAGAAAAAAACTGAGTGTTTTCTTTGTTATTCAAAATCAACACTTTAATTGAAAAACTCACACAACTAAAACCCACTTTCCAATCCTGAGTCTTATAGTGATTTGAATCTTCCATATGCTATTAGAATAGAATATTAATCAATTCAGGGTAGACTAAGAGGCTTTGGGAGTTGATCCGCCTGTCGGAATTAACCCTTTGAGTTATTCATTTTTTAATAACTCATGATCAATACATTCATGAAGGCAGATATTGTATTGAGACATGGCACATCGCACTATTATTAAATATGATTAAATCACCTTTTTCATACAGCATGATTTAATAAGGCATGTACAATGTTACGGCGTTATTCGTCATATACAAAAATACAAAGTTAAGTCGTCTACCCTGAATTTGTCCTTTTACATTGATTGACCTTGATCGCTTGAGTGTAAATCGTATAAACTAAATGATGGTACGAGTTCGTACATTATAAGAATAAGACTGTTAAATAAATTTTAAGTGGCATTTCTAGATCACGAACCTACGGCATCTCAGTATTAGTTTCAAAGTGCGTCGTACTACCGACTTATCCATCGCCTTATAAAACTCCACCATTATACCCTTAGCAATATGGTCGCCAGGGAAACTACATAATGTTCAAGGACACTCCAATATTGCTAATCTTATATAACTAAATATGTGCAAATTAGCTGTAAAGGACAAATGCTGTGACAGTTTCCTTCATAGTTTTCAATCGAAAAACCTTTAAAAAAATATTTCCATATAGATTTTCCAAAAATATAGCCCTACCCGTATAACTAAATTGTTAATTAAACAAGCTCTGTTTGTATTTTCTTCCAAAGGTTGTAATCTGTCTCATTCCATCATTTAAGAGATTTAAACGCTACGATTAGCTCGTTAAAGTTTTAGAAAATGTATTTATACCCTCAAAGGTCCACCACTACAAAACGACAAAAGATAGAAACGTGAACTTTTATACATAAGTGAATGCTAAGTTTCAAATTCTTGCTCTAACATATCTCAAGCTATTAAGAACTAACAGACAATTAACTTAGCACTTTGGGTCTACAACTATTTTACGTAATATGATTGTTTTGGCCAGAGAAAAAAAAACAACGTTATGCCTGTGCTCTATTGCTTTTAATGTGTGTCTCGCTGATGATTATTATGATTTTTTAGAACAGAGAAAAAAATGTCAAAGGGAACCAGGGATTCTTAGGACACCTGTAGATACTTAAACCTTCCCATAAAGGGATTTGCTAAAGGTTAAACTAAGGTGTACAGTTCATTCCAATTATTTCAATACACATGAGTAACTTTACTAACCACATTCTCCCCCTCCCTTGGTAACCTGAGGTATCATTAACCCTGCAAGTTTGTTAAGGCAGTTAGTTACTGTATTGTGGAGCTGCCAACACATCCGAAATGCATTACCTACCCGTATTAATCTTTGCATAAGGGATGCAAAGCTAATAAATCACTTTACCCACAATGCATTTAGGGTTGAGGTGATCAATATTTATCATACATGTAATGTAGTATCGTGTACTTAGTTAACAAACTTTAAATATTTCGTAATTGACATCTAGGGTTGCTATCAGTTTAGTACCATAATATACGTTTTTATTTTTTTAAATAGATTAGAACTTTTTAAGTTGTATTTTAGGTTATTTTTTCTAAAAAAATGTTTAAAGGACTCTCTATATTATAAGTTGACGAACTTTAAAACTGTTAGTAAAGAGCTTTAGTTAAATTAAATATATTATATCGCTAACGAGACATAACCGATTTATTATTTGTAGCTGAGCGACACATAGGCTTAAGTACTCGTACCTATTAAAATAAACTACGTAGAAAATCTGTAAAAATTGTATTTTTTTCGTTTTAAAGCTTTTATAGCCAAATACATGGTCTGTTTTCTTTATGTAAAGCTCCAAGGAATACCCTCTTGTAAAATGCATATCTGGGTAAATATAAGCTGTATTCTTAACGATGCTAAATTAAATTTTCTATTTAACGTAATTTATTAATTAATGATTAATTAATTGATAATAATATCAATTACCCTTATAATAATAACAATTGGTAGTTAACGATTGTTTTAGTTGGTGAGAATAAAGTTACATAAACTATGTTCAGCTAGACTGTTGTAATACTCCACATTAAGTTCCATAATAAAACACTAGTAACAGTTGGATGTGACATCAGAACTCTCTACAAATGCATAAACATAGTCATAAAGCTGCAAGAAGCTATGTATTGAATCATCCATAAACAGTTTATATATTTAAACAGCGCATTTGGGAACACTAGAGGAAAATTTATCCATTAGAACAAAGCACACATTTCAATAACATTCGTTAACTTTCTTCTTACAATTTGATTCAATTCTTAATTTTGTGGGTTTAAACATTTCTTAGTAAAATAATGTCCTTCTTAGGA